TGGAGACACTGAGGAGGGAGAGACTTTATGCGAAGTTCTCCAAGTGTGAGTTCTAGTTGCGCGAGGTGCAGTTCCTTGGGCATCTTGTCAACGAGAAGGGTATTCTGGTCGATCCAACCAAGATAGAGGCCATGATGCAGTGGGAGATTCCGAGGTCTCCAACTGAGATTCAGAGTTTCCTGGGTCTGGCAGGGTATTACAGGAGATTTATTCAGGATTTCTCCAAGATTGCAGTTCCGTTGACCCGACTGACCAAGAAGAAGGTAGTTTTTCGCTGGGGACCTGAGCAGCAGACAGCCTTTGAGACGCTCGGGCAATGATTGTGTGAGGCTCCGATTCTCACTCTGCCAGAAGGTGTAGACGACTTCGTAGTTTACTGTGATGCTTCGATCATAGGCATGGGAGTAGTATTGATGCATCGGGGTCATGTGATAGCTTATGCCTCGAGACAGCTGAAGCCTCACGAGGCTAACTATCCGACTCGCGATTTAGAGTTGGGGGTTGTGGTGTTCGCCCACAAGATTTGGCGGAATTACCTCTATAGGGTCCGTTGTACCATTTACATGGATCACAAGAGTTTGAGATACCTCATGGATCAGTCGAATCTGAACATGAGGCAGCGTTGGTGGTTAGATGTGGTTAAGGATTACGATTGTGAGATCCTTTACCACCCGGGCAACACCAATGTAGTGGCCGACGCCCTGAGACGCAAGGCGGTAGCGACTCCGATCCGAGAAATCTGTCTGAGGATGACAGTGATTACTCTACTATTGGAGCAGATTAGAGAGGTGCAGGTTGAGGGCCTGAAGGAGGAGCATCAGAAGTGCGAGAGAATTATGGGCCAGGTGGCCTCGTTTGATTATGACAGCCTAGGGTTGTTGACCCTGCATGGGAGGGTCTGGGTTCCGTACTGGGGCAGAGTACGGCAGGTTCTGATGGATGAGGCCCATAAGTCGAGGTTCTCCATCCGTCCCGGGGCGAAGAAGATGTACAGAGATCTTCGACCCGATTAGCTTGGTACGTAGAGAGATGCCTGGTACGTAGAGAGATCCCTGGCCTGCAGGAAGGTCAAGGCAGAGCACCAGAGGCCTCACGTAGGGTTGATGCGATTTAGGTCATCGTGGATCGGTTGACCAAGAGCTTCCACTTCATACCGATCCAGGAGAGCATCTCGGCCGAGAAGTTAGCCGAGATTTATGTTCGAGAGGTAGTGGCACATCATGGAGTGCCTGTCTCGGTGGTGTCAGACCGAGATGTCCGTTTTACCACGCCGGTATAGACCGACCTCCCTTCCAGATGCTCTACGGAAGGAAGTGTAGGACCCCAATCTGTTGGGATGAGGTCGGTCAGAGGGTCATGGGGAGTACGGAGGTAGTACTCAAGACCACTGAGCGGATCCAACAGGCTCCAGACCGCTCAGAGTCGGCCGAAGACTTACGCCGACAAGCGGCGTTCAGACTTGGAGTTTCGGGAGGGCGACATGGTTCTCCTGAAGGTGTACTATTGGAGCAGATTAGAGAGGTGCAGGTTGAGGGCCTGAAGGAGGAGCATCAGAAGTGCGAGAGAATTATGGGCCAGGTGGCCTCGTTTGATTATGACAGCCTAGGGTTGTTGACCCTGCATGGGAGGGTCTGGGTTCCGTACTGGGGCAGAGTACGGCAGGTTCTGATGGATGAGGCCCATAAGTCGAGGTTCTCCATCCGTCCCGGGGCGAAGAAGATGTACAGAGATCTTCGACCCGATTAGCTTGGTACGTAGAGAGATGCCTGGTACGTAGAGAGATCCCTGGCCTGCAGGAAGGTCAAGGCAGAGCACCAGAGGCCTCACGTAGGGTTGATGCGATTTAGGTCATCGTGGATCGGTTGACCAAGAGCTTCCACTTCATACCGATCCAGGAGAGCATCTCGGCCGAGAAGTTAGCCGAGATTTATGTTCGAGAGGTAGTGGCACATCATGGAGTGCCTGTCTCGGTGGTGTCAGACCGAGATGTCCGTTTTACCACGCCGGTATAGACCGGCCTCCCTTCCAGATGCTCTACGGAAGGAAGTGTAGGACCCCAATCTGTTGGGATGAGGTCGGTCAGAGGGTCATGGGGAGTACGGAGGTAGTACTCAAGACCACTGAGCGGATCCAACAGGCTCCAGACCGCTCAGAGTCGGCCGAAGACTTACGCCGACAAGCGGCGTTCAGACTTGGAGTTTCGGGAGGGCGACATGGTTCTCCTGAAGGTGTCGCCCTGGAAGGGTGTCATACGATTCCGGAAGCGGGGCAATCTAGGCCCCAGATATATCGGCCCTTTCCGAGTCATAGCCTGGGTGGGCAAGGTAGCATACATACTGGATCTTCCCGCCGAGCTCAGTCAGATCCACAACATTTTCCATATTTCCCAGTTACGGAAGTGCTTGGTGGATGATTCAACAGTGGTACCCCTTGAGGATATTCAGGTTGATGACAGCCTGAACTACATTGAGAGACCAGTAGTGATTCTAGATCGCAAGACGAAGGAGCTAAGGAACAAGCGGGTTAAGTTAGTGAAGGTGTAGTGGCAGCACCGTAAGGGTTCAGAGTGGACATGGGAGCCCGAGGAGGAGATGAGGCAGCACTACCCAGAGTTGTTTTCAGATGCAGCAGACTTCGAGGGCGAAGTCTAAAACAAGTGAGGGAGAATTGTAACGCCCTGTTCCTGGTACACATTTAATCTATAAAAATATTCATTTTGTAAGTGCTACTCGACGATTTAGTAGCCCTAACTCGTCAAGTAGATGCCAGTTTGGATGCAGGGTTTAAGTGGTCTACTCGACGAGTCGAAGCCTGGACTCGACGAGTAGGTCCATCAGGAGGAAACCCTAATCTTTAGGTTTAACACCCTATTTACATCATATATGGCCTCCACCCCAGACTCTATCACCTTCAAACCCTAATCTCGAAACCCTAATCCACCTTGAGTGATTTTGAGCTAGTTCTTGCCAATTTGAGTGTTATTGTGCCTTTTGAAGCTTGTGGAAGAAGAAGAAGATAGAAGGCTCAAAGGGGAAGAAGTAGATCCAGGAGCTACACTTCATTTACTGTATTTTCTGATAATCAAGTCCCTAACTTGATCCTTCTTCTCTTAGATCTATTTGTTTGCATTTTATGAAGGAATCGGTTCAAGAAACTTAGCCCTTGGAATTGGGACATCCCAAGTGATGTGTATCTCAGATCTGGGGTCTAGGAAGGGTTCCATGGCATAAAGGTGCAAACTTTATGACCTTGGAGACTCCATGCAAGTTTATATGCAAGAACATGGCCTTTTTAGCCCTAAAAGACCATGCATGGGGGGAAAGCTCGGGACTTTATGTGTCCCACAGATGATAAGAGCCTAGATCTAGTATATTGTGCTTTGGTTTATGGTATTATGGCTTGTGGACCAAGTTTTATGTCTTAAAGAAGTTAGGGTTTGGGTTAAACCCATTAGGAAGGACTAAGGACGGGTAAAGTTGGAAACTTTACCCTTAAGAGTGCACTTCCAGTATGTAGATGAAGTTTGGAACATAGATCTGAATGGTAGGTGCTTAATCCATTGAGATGGCTCAATCAGACAGGGGAACTCGCCGAGTCCAGGGAAGGGCTCGACAAGTTGAAGTGGGTTGTCCCGATTATTATGACAGCAAGAACTCGACGAGTCTGTTAAGGGACTCAACGAGTTGAATCAGTTGACCATGAGTTTAAGCATTCAAGGACTCGCCGTGTTGGGTTGACTGGGAGTTGACATTGACTTTGACTTTGACCAGGGGTAAAATGGTCATTTACCCTAAGAGAGGATTAGCAGATTCTGATTAAGTGTTATTATGGAATTGATAGATGGAGAGTCGCCGAAGCAGCAGACAGGGATTCCTCACTCGAGTTTTCAGCAGTCATTCTTGCGAGGTGAGTTTCCTTCAGTACGAACGGGTCTACGGCACCAAGGTCGGCCCGTATATGTGATATGTTAGTGGCTGAGTGTGGGCGGGGCCCGAATCTCATAGTAGCTTAGAGTGGGCGGGGCCCGATGCTTATAGTAATATTTGAGTATAGATATGTGATTGTTTGGTAGATATACTTGTTGTCTGTGTGATATTTGTATACATGTTAGTAGAGGAGTGTGGGCGGGGCCCGAATCTCCTAGACAACGGAGTGTGGGCGGGGCCCGAATCTCCTAGAAAGCAGAGTGTGGGCGGCACCCGAATCTCCTAGACAGCGGAGTGTGGGCGGGGCTCGAATCTGCATGAGAGTGGGTGGGGCCTGTATCTCCTAGTTGCATGATATTTGTATGGTATGTGGTAGTTTGGGGAACTCACTAAGCTTCGTGCTTATAGTTTTCAGTTTTGGTTTCAGGTACTTCCACTAGCAAGGGGGAAGGGCTCGGGATGATCGCATGGCACACACCACAGCTTCAGCCTGGGATGTTTAGACTCTGATATTTTCATATTATTTTGATACAGTATTTTGACACGATGTTTTGAGATACACGATTTATGGTTTTCTATATGATGATGGATGACTTATGGTTTTGATATAAATGATTTTAAAAAGAAATTTTCGGTTTGTATTTTTGGGATGTTTCATAATAGTTCCAGAAAGTTAATAAAATCATCTCTCTCTCTCTCTCTCTCTCTCTCTTTCTCTCTCTCTCTCTCTCGTTCGCTCGTGGACGTAGGTCACCTTGACCGAACCACGTTAAATATCGTGTTCTTTTAATTTACGTTTTTCACAAGTATTGTGAGTTCACCGAAGTTTGTTTTTTTTTTAATTTGTCTGGAGTGCTTAACTTGTTTTGTTGTCACCCAACAGGTTTCTTCCTCTAGCCACATGGAAAACCGAGAAAAAGAGGAACAAAAAAAAAAGACAAAACATAGAAGAAACTAAAAGCTTGATAGCAAAGTTTTATAAAAAAGCAAAAGAAGTTCCGAATGAATCAACATCAAAGGTTAACCCTACTTATAATAAAAGGAAATTATTTATACAAAAAGGAAATTGAAATTGGGTCTAATACTAGAATAGAGTAACAACAAAGATCAAAAATAAAATAAGGAATGTTTCCAAAAAACAAATTCGGATTATTCCAACAATTTATACATCAGCATGGGCACATGCTTTCTATCTAGCATGCAAAAGTGTAATCGTGTATTCCTCTAGGGATGAAACAATATTAACTTCATGGTAACTTTCTTCGGTGAAAAAAGCTGGTTGTTTGGGTGGAGGCAGTGCCCCCTCACTAATCAGCATAAGAACTACCGACAACATAGTTGGTCTATCTTCCGCATGATGTTGCACACACAATAATCCAACATGAATTGATCGTAGTACTTCAGACACGACACAAGAGTTGCGTAAAGATTCACTAATAAGTTCAATGGATCTGTCTTCTTTATGTAGTCTCCAAGCCTGATTTAAACCAAATTTCAGAAAAATAAACAAAAGGATGAGGTTAAAGAAAAAATAGTTTCTGCTGCTTTTTAGTCTACAAGATTAACTTACATGTCCAAGAAGGTTATCACTGTGAGCCTCATGAGAGAATCCTCTGTTTTTCTTCCCACTCACAAAATCTCCAGCACAACGACACCAAAACTAAATACATCTGACTTTATAGAGATACGCCCATGTACCGCATACTCAGGAGAAATGTAACCACTGCATCCAAGTTCACTTAATTAGAAAAAGAGTAGTGGGATTTCGCATTTGTATTCCCTTGTCTTGGGCAATGTTTTACGGATTCTTACTGTGTTCCTACAACCTTCTTTGTCTTAGTCATGACATCTTGTCCTACAAACTTTCGAGCGAGGCCAAAGTCTGATATTTTTGGATTCATTTCACTGTCCAGCAAGATATTACCCGCCTTGAGATCTCTATGGATTATTTGAAGGAGGGAATCTTGATGTAGATAAAGAACACCCCTAGCAATACCATGGATAATGCGAAACCGTTGAGGCCAGTCAAGCAATGAACCTCTCGTTTCATCTGCCAAATATTAACTACTTAATCCATGAATGTTGCTACAACAACTGTGAAAATAAGGAATTAGAGGGTGTCAAACCAAATAGAAATGAGTCCAAGCTTTTGTTATCCATGTATTCATAAATTAGAATCCTTTCATTTCCATGAACGCAGTATCCAAGGAGCTTGACAAGATTCCGATGCTGAAGCTTGGCAATACAAATGACTTCGTTTTGGAACTCATCAAGTCCTTGTTGAGATGTTTCTGAGAGACGCTTTACAGCGATTACTCGCCCATTTTCCAACACACCCTATAGAATATTGGAGCTTATTATTTTAATATTCCTTTGTTAATACATACATGAATTGCGTTTTATTTCAAAAGAATCAGCAAGTTACCTTGTAAACCGGACCAAAACCACCTTCTCCAATCTTATTATTAATGTTAAAGTTATCGGTAGCCTCTGCTATTTTATGCAGGCTAAAAAAAAAGGTAGCTCTTCAAGGTTTTCCATCTGAACAGTCGTATGATCTTTGTCAAGGGTATGTGCCCTGCTTCCTACAAAAGTACATTTTCAATTTCTCATGTTTACACGGATCTGCCAAAAATCATACTCTTGAAAACATTTAATATTTCATTTCTTGAAGAATAATCAATGACTTGTTTTACCTAGTCCCTTTTTATGAAGCCTTTTCATTTTCTTTCTACAGGCATATGCTACTACAGAGAGAAGTAGTGCAGATATCGAAACTGACAGCACCACCGTGAGTACTCCCTTCTTCTTGTTGAAGCTGAATTGGCCTTTTGCTAATGAGTAAAACAATTAGTAAGGTTGCAATTCAAAACCAAGTACCTTCAACCAGTAGGATAATACTGACAATTGTTTTTGTTAAGATTCCTTATAAATTATTGTATAAGGTAATTCTTATTTGGACATCCACAATGCATTGAGTTCATTAGAGTATAAAAGGGTTTCCATGTCATAATTCTACTAATCATTCAACTTTACCAAAATTCTTCTACAATGAAGTTTATAAAATTTAATGGAATATATTTATAAAAATCTAATTTATGACATAATTAATAATTAAAGATTTCTTGTTTCCCATTGAAGAGTTCAATGGTCATTTAACTTCACATCCATTGAACGCCAACAAGCATCTCACAATGGTTTAATTTATTAAATGCCAATTAGGCATGCTACATTATTCAACTCTTCCATTGAACATTGCATTGTAGATGCTCTTAGGTTGAATTAGATCTTCATCCATGTACGTCTAATAAGTTTTACCGGCTAAGAGGATTAGCTAGAATACACAAGATAGTCTAATCCAGGCTAATGTTAGTACTGACTCTAAGGGAAACGAAAAACAAGCAACACATGGACTAAATAAACTATGGCGACTATAAACACAATAACTAATTTTGATGTATATAGATTTCGATATTTAGAGGATACTGCTGCTAGAGACCCAACCATCACACCCCACAACATTCTCAATAGGCTCAAGACTTTTCACTGTTATATATAGATTAAAACTTGTATACCTGCTAAATCAGAGATTGCCATTCTTATGTACAGTTCTTGATGATCATCAGATTCTCTTGCATCCAGCAGGTCGTCAAACCATAGCAAACATCCACTTCCCCCATTTCTGATATCTAAATTAGCATAAGCAGTACAATTACAATCCCTTCTGCAGATCATCTCACATTCTTCAAGGGACATGCTCTCGTTGTACGATGAACGACGTGTGTCTGGGAAAACCAATCCTGAAATTTTATGGAAGAAATCCGGAGTCCTACAATCCAATGGCTTTCTACGTTGACACCCACTCGACCAATCCCCTGCTTTCCATTCTTCTGGGACTTTTGGTTCAAAACCTTCCAAACAACTGCAAGGGACAGAACTTTTAATGCTGCAGCTTCCAAAAAGGACCACATGGTCCATAACGACTACAAGCATCAACTACAACATTTGCATACTCGACCCATTCTTGGGTTCGCTTGTTCGACTGCAACCTTCGTACCATGCCATCCCACATCAAAATAACCCTCTGAACAGTTGTACTCTTAAGTTTATATCTATAATATATTTCTTTCTTATTGACAACAAATTCTGTAGAGAAAATAGGATTCATATTTTCCACAGATATGCCTTGAAAGCCAACACCATTCCATCGTCCAAGCCTCAAGGTTTCACGTTGACCTTCTCCCAAAAAAATCTGTGGATATCCATTTGTGTCTACCCAAAATTTATACAAACCTATAGAAGGATCATCAGGGCTCTTCCAAGATGTGAAGTACCTCTCTCTTCCTGTTATCAAATCCTTCCCAAATTTCATTCCTGGTAGGATTGTGTCACCAGGATAGTCAAAACTTTGCCAGATCAGTTTTTCCTTTGTTTCTATAGTTATCCCACACCACAAGATTTCCACTGTCCAGAAGCTTTGCCACTGGATTAACATTCATTGCAGATACGGTGAAATTGGATGACCAGATGACAGTATTACTATCGCCACCACTGTGAATCAGCAGGACTCCTTCTGTAGTGACTTGAAACATCCCAGATGCATCCTTTATTGGTGTCTGCCTGTTAGCAACCCAGACAACTGTACAAGGTGATATGTTTTTGTACCATATCCCCAAATATCGATTCTTCGACTTTCCTGGGCTAAAAAACCCCAGTTCATACGTCTCACCATCTGAAACAATGGTGTTGCCATCTTTGATTGGTTGATTTATGTATACTCTATCAACTGCAGCAGAACATGACAAGATAAAGAATATGATACAGAAGATCAACAGAAGGATAATGCGATAAAGCTCCATTAAAGAATGATGTGTTCTTGGAAATGGTGGGTGGTAGACGTACGCAAGCCTGAATTGAATTTTGAATATTAAAACTTAAATAAACTATCGACTTGAAGCCGTCAGCTTTGAAAACGTGACTTTTACACGTTTAATTTCGTAGGTCATACACTGAGTTGACTACAGTTTATCCCTAAAACGTCGGAACCAAAGTCTGATTATATTCTTTATCCCTAAAACTTCGAAACCAAAGTCTGATTATATTGGAGGTTATCCTAAAATTTAGCCAAGAAGTATAGAAGGAAATTTATTTACATTTTGGTAAAATATAAGGGAAAGATACACGGCTAACGCTATCCAAAAAGTCCTTAGCTGAAAAATGTTTGGCAAAAAAGATATTTTATATTGACTAGAAAAATTAGAATCAGCGAAAGACTACAACCGTCGCCAGTTATAACCATATTACCTTGCAAATGAAAATTCACTAAAACAAAAAAAACCGAGTATCACATGGATTTACGTAATTAGTGACGGATAATTGATGTTTTATCTCCTTCTTGCTAAACCGTCGCTTAAGTATTACCGATCTAACTTAAATAATATCTAAAGTCCATTACTAATTTAATTTAACTAATATATAATATTTCTAGAAAACAAGTGGATTGTGCCGAATCGTTGTGCTTAGTGACATATCTTTAAAAAAATAAGCAAGTTATTAATATTTTGAAGGTTGTGCTACCCATGACAATAGATTGGTTCCGCCGCTATACTCACTAGGGTTTCCAACACTAAGGTGGAGTTTGTTTTTTGTCTGCGTGGCCTCTTCTGTTTGTGCCGTGCAGACCACGCGCAGACATTAGCCTTCGCAGACTGTTTGTTTTTTTGAAGATTGCAGACCTAAAAATGTCTGCGCGCCCTCTTCTTGGCGCAGATGTGGACCAGAGTCTTCTAACATCTTCAGACATCTTCTAGCCTAAAAAAACGCATATATCTTTAATTTTTTAAGTTTTTTTTTTAATTTATATTTTTTCCAACTTTATTAATGATAAACAATTTAAAAAAAATTACAAAACTTAAAAAAAACGTTCGACGATACAAACATGATATTTTTGACAAATTTATAAATAAATATTTATTACAATAATAGTCGTTGAAGTTGTTTATATAAATATGAAAAAAAATCATAATATATATTCTTATATTTTTTTGCCAAATTTTGTAAAACATTATTTAATACAATATCGTCAATTTCTCGAGAAAATATTTAGGGTACGTTTTTAATGGATTTAATTGAAAAAATCGAAGTTTATATCCATCCATTTATGTATCAAATTCTTTGATCCCTAATTATAATGTTTAGTTATAACTTTGCAACCAAAGTTGTTGGTTTTTTATCAAATATATACGTCAATTCATACCATTTTTATTTTTATTTTTTATACAATAATATATAAAAGTTGATCTACATTTGTTAATTATTTATAACAAAGTCATAAAAATATTAAAAAATCACTTTGAAGTTTAATAAAATCAGTTTATTTTAGTAGCCCGCAGATGTTAAAAAAACAAACAGTCTTATTTTTTCAGACTGCAGACGTTTGGTCCACCTCTTCTACTGCAGAGGTCTACAGATATGGTCCGCAGACTGCAGACATATTGCCTCAGAAAAAACAAACAACACCTAACTATTTATTTTGATATGTATGCAGATTAGATGACTAGTGATGTTTGTATATTTTAGAAGACTTTTAACTTTATAGAAGAACTTCATTTATAATTTTACTTTTGTATTGATTGTATCACCCTTGCAACTTAACAAAGTTTGTTAAAACTTAAGTTTTGGGGCCAAATTTATATTTGAACATTTGAATATTTCTGATTTAAAACTTGGATTTTGCTAAACAGAAAAAATTAAAACAGCCCATACAAAGGTTGTTGGATTATTAAAAAAAATGCTTATCAATGACGTGACTTATGGAAATCAAGGTAATAAGGTTGTTGGATTTGACAATCGAAGCCGAAAAAAATGAACCAGAAAATAAGCAAAAAAAAAGGGGGGGGGGGGGGGGGAAACTAAAAACCAAAGGTCTAAACAATGAAACAGGGAATCAAAAGTGATGGATAATTAGCAAATTTATGTCGTTTTTTGACACTCATTTTTCACAATATTCTTCAGAAATTTCCCTCAATTATTCTATCCCTGACTACTTATAGTAAGTTCAATTTTTTCGAAATATTAGAGATTTTTATATAATGATGGAGAATGAGTTCTTTCGTCTTAAAATCTGAATAATATTATTCATTATTTCAATTTTTCCGGGCATTCATCGAAATGAGATATGTTCTTCGAATTTGACCAATAGGTTTCTTTTGGCCCAATTTATCTTTCTTCCATTCATCCATAAAGGTTCTTCTGTCAAGTCTTCTATATGCCCCACATCAATTATATTCACCTTTCCGGATGGTTTTTAATTACAAAGATAACACGATTTGAAAGGTCCAGTTAATGTGGTTTGGTCTAGGCTTTCAATGTAATAGTTCAGTATGAGTCTGTAATACATTTTGTGAGTTGTTTAGGTGTTTACTGTTGGAAAGTGTGTTTACGACCGTAAACAGAGTTTACGGCCGTAAACCCAGTTTACGGTCGTAAACCCTGTTTGCGGTCCTGTCTAGTATAAATAGCAGAGGTATAGGTCATTGTGCAGTTGTTGATGCCATTGCGTTTACAGAGTGTTCCATCGAGTTGTACCTGACGTTTTTCTGAATATAAACGTGTGCAAGCTCGATTTCTTTTCTTCTTATTCTTCTATCTGTGATTGTTTGTTGCTTGATCATTGGTAAAGATCCTTTTCAGGACCTTACAATTGGTATCAGAGCAAAAACCGGTGTCAAAGCTTCATTCAATCGAGATTTGGGGTGCTTAAACTGATATTATTATTGTTCGAAGATTGGTTTTAGTGTTTTAGTGGTTAAAGGAACTGAATCTACTGCAAAAACGTGTTTTTGAAGGCTTTCTGGGAGTTTACTGCCAACCGTAAACCCTTTTTACGGTTGTAAACTCAATATCTTCAACAACCGTAAACTGTGAATCTTCGGAAAACCGTAAACCAAGCTTCATTAACTGTAAACGCTTAAACCGTAAACGTACAAACCGTAAACTCATCAACCGTAAACCCAGTTTACGGTCGTAAACAGCTCAACCGTAAACCCAGTTTACGGTCGTAATCACTCAAACCGTAAACCAAGTTTACGGTCGTAAACTCTTCAACCGTAAACCCAGTTTACGGTCGTAATCATCATCAACCTTAAACTCTTTTGTGACTTCAATCTGCTTTAATTTTAAATGGAATCTCAAAGTCAAAATCATTTTCACGAACTTGATACTGTCATGGGCACTACTACGCGTATTCCAAGATTAATGTCTGCAGATGGTTTTCCTGAGTGGAAGTACAGAATTGAAAAATACATTAAAATGAAGGATTTCAAAGTCTGGAGAAGCATTCTTAGAGGCCCTGTTAGAATCACTATGACAGTCGGAGGCCAAGTGATTGACAAGGCTGTTGAAAACTACACTGATGAGGAGTTTGAGAAAGTTGAAGAGCAGGAAAGGGCTTTAGCCACTCTAACCATGGCATTATCTCCTGATATTGCTCAAGGGTTCCGAGAGTACACTTCAGCTAAAGATTTGTGGGAAGCCCTAATTGAGGTATATGAGGGCAATGAAGATATGAAGGAGAGTCGCCAGGACATGTTGAGACAAAAGTTCAATATGTTCAACTACATTCCAGAGAGACTCTTGAGGCTCAGCTGCAGCGGTTCACAACTCTCACCACTGACATGAACATATCTGGGATTTTCTTGAACAAGTCAGAGATTAACAAGAAGCTTCTAAATGCTCTTCCTAGATCATGGGATATGAATGTTGCTGTGATTAAGAAGACCAAGGATCTAAACCGCCTTACTCTTGCTGAAATCATGGCGATCATCAAAGCTTGTGATATTGATGACAAACAGAGAGAAATTAACCATGTGAACTCGTACTCTACTGCGAATCTTGGAATCTCATCCAACAATGCTCTCTCATCAATCATGACTTCCTCAGGCCAAGTGTTTGCTGCTCAACAACCTCAGATTCAAACCTTTGCTGCTGCATCATCCATTCCACAAAGTCAGCCATTTATCACTCCACAAGTTGTTCCCTCTCCAAATGTGCCTGTTGTAGCCTCTTCCTCAAACACTAAAGACACTGATGAAAATCTGGCTCTAGCCACTGGGCTTGTTAACTGCTACAATGCCTTTGTAGCTGGAGAGCTTCCACCTCAGCTGTCATTTGCCGACCTGGATCAGATTCATCCTGAAGATGTGGAAGAGATGGACATTACATGGCAGATTGCTATGGCTGTTTTCAGGGCCAAGCAGTTTGCTAAGAAGACAGGGAAGAGCAACTGGGGCATGAATGCTGACAAGAAGGTGGGATTCAACAAGGGCATGCTGCGATGTTTCAACTGCCACGAGCCGGGTCATTTTGCTCGTGAGTGTCCAAAACCAGATCGTAGGACGAACAACAACAGGACGATGGTTGCAGTGGGAAACAACCGTGCAGGTGGTGCAGTTAATGGTGAAACTGCTATGGTCGCTCAGTCTTTTGACTGGGAGGACCAGATTCAGGCTTTGAATATCTCAGGGCCAGAAAATGCTCACCTAGCTCAGATTGATGATGCTTCCTTGAAGAATGATGCAGCTGATCCCGAAGCAGAAATGATGGAGCTGCAGTTTGCTCTAATGGTGTCTTCTACTTCCGAGCCCAGGAAAAGTGAGGTAAATCTACCGTCTTGTTCTCAGGCTTGTAATGAATATGTTAAACTTCTTCATGATGAAATTCAATTATTACGTAGAGAAGTAGAGGACCTTAGATATGAGGGTTATCAGCTTAGGAAAGGACAGAAACCCCTTAAGGCCCAGTTAGAGACAAAAATAAAGGACTTTAAGAGAATTCAAACAGAATACAGTGAAAAGTGTGA